AGAAGGACTGTCTCGTTCGAGGGTTTAGAAACTCAAAACCAAAACCGATTTTACATGGAAAACATCAAAAAATGAACTTTTAAGCCCTCATTGAGACTGACATATCTCTGTGAAATTTGATCGTACAGAGCTCGGGGACATCTCATTTTGTTCAGAATTTTCCGCTCTTCAAATCTAGACCATTTGGACGAGCCTGATTTTTTTTCGTCAAAATGATCAAAAATCATGGTTTCGGCTTTTTTGAGCTTCTAAATCCTCGAACGAGACAGTCCTTCTCTGCCATGTCATATTCTTGTAAGCGAGAATTTCCCCTACACGAAGTACTAATTGGGTTCTTTTTTATTCACGAAAAAACAAGAAAAAATCTACAGACAAAGGTGGGTGAATAATTTTGGCGGCCACTGTATTTAATTATTTTAGACAAAGCTAAACAAGTCTCAATTTTTGACGGTCTCTATTAGAATAAATGTTTGGTTCATGCATCCCATCTATGATATGGTCCATTAACGTCATTAATGATTTAACTGTAACAAAATATCAGATAAGACTCTTTATCTAAAGACCAATTAACTTTTATATCTGCAATATATTCTTAACATACTTTTACTACTTCACCTATATTCTCAGTTCGGCTAAGTGATTGTATCAGAGAAACAATAAAAAAGTAAACATTGTATCTACATATTCGTTTAGATCAATCAAAGCATTTATTTTTGTGTTAATGTAATAAAGATTAGTACTCTTGAAGCAACAATGTTTTTAAATGTTTTATTACTAATATGAAATAAACATATTATGTTTAGTTTTCTTTGAAAGTACAAGTACAACAAACGTCATACCATCGGTTATAACATTATAAATAAACAACGTGATTCGAGAACCAATAAACAAGAGTTACTATGATCAAGTGAGCTTGTTTTAGTTAGTAAAAGAACTAATACGCTATTCTATTCTCTTAGTCACTGCTATTTGCAGGAGAGCCTCTCTTACCACCGCCTCCAAAGCATCTTGTTTTTAATACCAACGAACTTCGAACTATTTACAATTATAAGTAAGCGAATCAATATAACATAAATATTTTAGTTATCCCTTGTATTTATAGAAATTCTATAGTAACATCTCGTAGTTGGGATGGTGTCAGCTGCACATTTATATTTGCATCGATTATCAGCAGTATTTTTTTCGTTTTGTTATTAGCTGTAGCTTTAATTGTGCCTATTACATTGAATATGTTATTACACCAAGTATGACCATCATAATTACAGTATTATAAGAATAATACTTTAATGTTTTTTGAACTTTTAAGCGACAGCATCGACGAGTTCTACCACTACAACGACAGGTAAATGGTTTTGGATTAATAGATTGTGTTTTAAACTGCTTACTTTGTAGTTACAACGACAACTACCGCACCACTATCATCAATATGTTTTAATTATCGAATAACAGTGACTCTACACGTAACTATACATATGGATCGGGAATTGTTGTGACACTTCTATTTTTACATCTACGTCAACGTATGTAAGATTTGTGGCTGGAGCGGGTACAATTATTTATCAAAGCATTACAAATAATAATCAATGTAATACGGCTGCTGGTGGATGGTTTACGGGAGAAATGCCAGCAAATGGAAGTAGATCAATCGTAACCAGTATGGTTTGTTATAATTGGGCAGGTGATCCGTGTTGGCGGTACAATTCGATTACAGTGATTGAATGCAATGGATTTTATGTTTATGGACTAATTGCTTAGCCAATGTGTACTACACGCTATTGTACAACTTGATCATTGTCTAGTTTAGCTGTAATCAAGAAACACTATTAGACAATAAAAAACAACTTTTACTTTAAATCAAACTTTTTTTAACCCTAACAATATCGCCTTGCTGTCAAGAAAACATTTTCGTACCTCTGATATCATCGCAATACGATTTAGTTCAATAAGACAAGCAATAAAATATGCGCCCGTGCCAAAGAAGATGTATCATATGATAATTATCGCTTATTTTAATACCGAAGACAATGACCGATACAATAATAGGATTAGATTTCGAAATTTTTTATGTCGTTTTTGACGAGCTAGAAATACAATACTTTAAGATCACAGAAAATAATTTTTTTCTAAAATTTGGATAAAGCAAAATTTGAATCGTTTCGAGCCCTGCTGTTCAGTAAACAAAACTGATTCAGTGGTGAGAGTTTTAAAAGCGTTCGTCTTTTTTTACTTATTTACCTTGATGCACAGCTTCTCTAAAATAATTTTATGTCTATTTACAATTCAATATCGCTTGTATATTCAGGTTTTCAAACATGCTTATGTATGATATTCTTAGCCAAAACACAATATACTTATGACACATACAACAATTTACATGTTGAAACATATGCAACGGGTGAACTCAAATTTCCAGGATAAATGTTCGTTCATTTTTTTTTGCACTTAAAAAGGTTTCGTCAAAATAAAAATCAGCAAAAATCCGATATTTCAAATAGTTCTAATAATTTACCAATAAATAATTCCACTTCGACAAAACAAAAAAATTTTCTCGTCTATTTTAAATAAAAAGAATATCACAGTCATCATATTTTACACATAGTTTGTTTGTATCAAGCAAAATTTTGACTAATATCAGGAACTTTGATGAAAAGAACAATGCAACACAAATTGTAGCTCATCATATCTATCCATCTTTTTTTTGTTCATATTCTGATGCTTCCGTGCAGTTGCTTTGTCATAACAGTGCACTTCGAGACGCAAAAATAGTAGCTTATAACAAGTTTATGAAAGTAAAAATGCGGTACACATAAATGTATACATAAAGTAAAAAAACCAAAGGGGAAAAAGAGTTTTGGAATGGTATAGAATGGGTCATTCCATACCATTCCAAAATGGTCAAAAATGTTTGGAATGGTATGGAATGGCCTATTCCGCCTTTTACCCCTTGAAAAAAACACATAAAATTTTTACCTTAAATAATAAATATAAAAATTAGAATATACAACGTCTACAAAACAATGATAAGACCAAAAGAATAGATCATTCCACTTTGTTTATATTTTCATCTAATGTTTTAACTGGATTTTCAACATCACTTTGTTTGGATTTTTCTTTACCACTATCATCGTTAATTTCGTTTTTCTGTTTCAATTCTTTTTCATATTGAATCAATTGCAAAAGAAAACCATAATTTGGCGAAGCTTGTCGACGTTTATTTAGCAAAAAGTCATATGCTTCAAGCAGTGTATTATGATGATATTTCATTAAATATGCTAGAACAATTGTAGATGATCGTGAAATACCCATTTGACAATGAACCTGGAAACAAAGGCGATCAAGAATTGTAACATTTTATCTAATATATTTTTCTTACTTACAAGAACTTTTTGATTTTTCTCTTTACAGCTGAATAAAAATTGATTTGTTTGATCAAAATGTTGTTTAATATCAACTCCAATTTCATCGTCCAAATTAATGTGCAGTACCTAAATATAACAGGACATTTTAGCATAACATGAAAAAAAACAACGATAAAACAATTTCATACTTTGAATTCATCCATTATCTCTTTATCCAATGGACAATCACAGATATTTATTATATAACGAATATCTAAACTTTTTAATAGTGATAAATTAGATGCATGACCAAGATCACCATGAAAGAGAAAATCGTCAATAACAACAGATGGACTGGTATATTGTAATGTTGATTTACGATTTTTTTGTTTTAATTTAGTTAGTTTATCAAGATAACTTAATTCATCATCATTGGCATTGAATTTATTTGCTAAAAACTTGGACATCGGATTATAAGAAAAATCACTCATTTGATCTAACAATGACGAGGATGATGATGATGATGGTGGTGATGATCGTTCACAAGATAAACTTATTATATAAAATGAAAGACAAATAATAAATGTTATTAATTTTCTTGTCAATATACCGTATCTTCTGTAAAACACAAACAGAAAAATTAAACGATTCAAATCGCAGTTCTAAGAGAATTTTCTCATGCAATCGACTTTCTCTTAAACCAGTCTGTTTTGAACCACCTACAAGCAATTCATGACTCGGCCTTTGTCACATATGACGCGGAAAAACGGTCGATGGTTATTCAGTACTTTTCCCTCTATGAACGTAGTCTCGCGTAGGTATGCACCGGTTAAGATTATGAACCAATAATCATAATCATCAATAACCGGTCAAACGGTTCACTACTGACTAGGCACTTAAAGAGCCTAAAATTTCGCTTCTCTCGTATTCAGCCTTTTGTGTGCGTACCAGTACGACCATACTCGTACTTGTACTAGAGAAAAATTTTATTATTTTTGAAACTGATAGTGCAATGGGGAATATTTTTTCATCTTTATCCAAAAGATCACATCGTTCACGCATTCGATAGTGCTGAGAAATTTCGTTTAGACATAAGTCAACGACATCACTCTCATTTTGAGTAAAAAACAGTAGAATATGCATGTTACAACGGTTAGGATTTTGACCGGTCACGGTTAATCGTAACTTGTACACGCTTACTCAAACGTCATCTTTAAGAAAAATTCAACAAATTAATAATGATTTAATAGCACCAAGTGACCTTGAAGAAGAAAAGATCATGAATGATTTACATTTATCTTTCACTATCATAGAAAAAATCCATGTTTTTTTTATCAGTTTTTAGATTTATAGACTAGTCTCAAATTAGACTCTATCAAAATGTTGTATCTTCTTAACTATGAAAAATATAATATTAAATATCTCTGAAATACTATAAAAATGCTCTTTTGTTGTAATCAAAACAAATTCATAGTTTCATTTAACATAATTGAAATCTATTCGTTTCTTTCGTTGATTTTGTGCTTTATCTAAAAGTAAATTGGAAGATACATCTTTTCGAGCACAAAATATTGTAACTTTTGATTGACAAACAAAATTTCTTCGTGAAAGAACAAATTTTCCTCTTATTGAGAATCATTATGCTTTTCTCATTTACATTTTCAATTCTTCATAATGGTTTTCAAGGCAAAAGCAAAAGTTAGTCCAAAAAACTTTTTTTATTATTATTAGCAAAAAAATATACATAAAGCTGTTTGTATTGTGAAGAGAGAGAAAAAAAATTTACAAAAATATTACTTGTAGAAAAATTTCTATTTTTGTTGTGTGTTTTCTCTTTAATATAGAGATTTGTATATATTTAAATTATTATATAAAAAACCATGTTAATTTTAATTCAAGTTAAAATCCATACATAAATGTATTTTAAATTTTAACTATCATTGGTAGGTTTTTACATAATAGAAATAAATAAACACAAATATTAACAATATATAAAAAAGATTAATAAACAAACACGAACAAATCTGTGTCTTTGAAGCAACAATAATCTTAATTTATTAAGCAATCGTACATAAACTCTTGTCAACTTCTGTCACTTGATGGATTTCACGATTTTCAGCCGCATTATGAACTTCTTCGATTATCTAAAGTAAAATAACAAACAATGATATCACATGAACGAATGAATTTTTATTCTACAGATTAGTCAATATCAGAGAAGGACAAGTTCGATACTTTTTCAGTTCCAGTCCACTAGAGGCTAAATCCGAATCAGTCGCAGTCCGCTATGCATCTAAAATACTCCAGTCCCGGTCCGCGATGAGCTTAAAAATTTTTCCAGTCCCAGTCCACTAAGCTTGAAGTCCGATGTCGACCACAGCATACCCTATTTTCCACTTCCATTCTTTCTTCTTTTTATCAGTGAGTAACTGTTTCTTTACATGGAGACTATAGCAACGAAAAAAGACAAGAGCAAAAAAAAACAGCCGTCTTTTGATTGTAAGTAATTGATCAAAGGTTTTGATCAGAGCTAATCTTAACCGACTATGCGATAACACGAAAAAGATAAACGAGTGAATTCAATATTTCTTTATTCTTTTCATCTTTTTTCAAATTTAAACTGAAAAGTCCATGTCACAAATGTGAAAAAAATGTGTTAAAAAAAGTCCATGTCTCTTATGTCTTCAGTCCCAGTGCAGTCTAAGTCCGTATGAAAAAGTCTATCAGTCCGGACTTGGACCTGCCCATTTCTGGTCAATATCATTAATTAAGGTCAATAGAATTTGTTTCCTAAATCTAAGCTCGTAATACATTTTCCACTCACCTTGTCAAAATTTGGAAATTTACCAACTTTTAATTTTGAAAAGATTTCTTTGTTGTTCAAAGTCACTTCAAATGAACCTGTAAAAAATAATTTAAACAAATTCTCGTTCAGATAATTAAAATAAATCTCAAAACTACTTACTGCGACGTCCTCGAGCCCCGGTTACGATGCATTCAGGAACTTCACGTAAAATTTGTTCACGGAGTGCCTGATACCGAGGCTCATAACCTCAGGCTCCACTAAAAATAAACAAGGTAAATAAATAAATAAAAGCTTAAACTGGTATAAAAAACAACATACCAGTATTCAACGTGGACAACTGCTTTCTGACTCATTGCTTTAATGAGTAATGGTTTACCGAATTTGAAGAATTGAAGAAAATAAACGAATAAAATCTAAAATCTCAGATAATATTTCATATTTTATTAAGAAGAACTGAATCTATCATAGAACATCAAAATATTGAAATTTTACGACATCAATATTTCATTATAAGAATAGAAAATGTTGACTAATCATTTATAGAATATACTCAAACCTGCGTTAAGTTTCTGCAGCAAAATATTTGACTCATCAAGTTAAATTTCATTAAAGTTAAAAAAAAGTGTGTCATGGTCGATCATAACAATTCATAAACTCGATCCTAACCATACAGACTCTTTTCAAAAACAACATACAATCATGCAATATATCTGAAGGAAAAAAAATTACAATTTATTGTGCAGTAAGAAAAACACAGTTTTTATTATCTAAGCTAAACGATTTCTTGAAATAAAAATTGGCATACCAAAATAAAATAAAACAAAGCTCTATTCACGTATAATTATGTGCTTCTCGATTAGTAATGTTCTCATTCTCAATGATTAATCTTCAGATACAGTCTCACTATTACTCTCGAAACATTCAGATGAGATGATGAGATTTCTTGAACTACTAGAAATTTTATTAAGAAACAAAGTGTAAATCTACATTCCATAAACTTAGCTGTTTTTCTCGTAGTGAAGTAACTTTTTTTTCTTAAACATTTTCAAAGTGATCATGCACATAATCATCAAAAATACTGGGTGCTCCCACTCACTTTGCTACGCATTCTCGAATTCTCTTTCTGGTAGGTAAGGCAAAGAACAGACAAAAAATGAAACTTACTATTAATAAAAAAAGAAAACCTAGATGAAAATCATGCGTCAGCACCTTTCACTTTTTGCTAATGTTAAAACATGGACAAAACACTCTTTATCCTAATATTGACATTTGAAGTTGTATGCTCTCAATCGAAATCTATATACTATACACTAGTTTAGAATTGATATATCATATTGTGAAGTATAGTGAGAAATGAACGAATCAAAATTATCTCTACCTAAAAGGCGTCACCTATTGAAAATAAATGCCTTGATTCGACAAGCAAAGTATCTTCGAATACTCACACATTTACTGTTCATTCAACTAGTATACATCCATTTCATTCATTTAGCATATCACATTTTCGTCTCTAGCGCACTTCGCGGGGTATTTTGTCAGAGAAAGGTTTGAGTCTATGGCCGTATACAATAACACAATTCATAGAGTGACAACTTTTTTTGTTCTAAAGAAAAAAGAAAACTGCATCAAAGTAAATTTTCTAATTAAGCTTCAATTTTTCTAGATCAGGGGCTTGTTTTTTAAAACAACTTAAAACAGTGAAAAATTTCACAAGTAAACAGGAAATTATTCTTAAGAAACTCACTTAAGTAAAACTTAAGTTTCTTTGAGAAACAGACCCCAGATTTGCTGAAAAGCCTTTTTCGGGATTTTGATTGTTTTTAACTTTTAAACGCACTCAAAATGGAGAAGTACAAAACAAAAAAAGAAACTGTTGATTTATTCAATGCTTCAGAATTAAACCAGTTTTCACTAAAATTTGAGTAAACAACGTTTTTAGTGTCGATACAATTTAGAATTTTCTCAACTACGATCATTCAATAAACTGGCACTTCTCTCACTTCCTACTGGGACATATCACTGAAACCTAAAAAAATAAAGTTGCTTTTGAGTTGCTAAAAAGTGCCTTTTCGTATTCAGCGCAGGGATAATCCAGAAAATTTTCTATTTTTGGTGAGGGGTACTTCCAAAAGTTAAGGCAAAATTTTGAAACAAAGTAGCACAAAAAACTTTCCATGAGAAAATAATATTGGTTTGAAGAATTTTCCTAAATTTTTGGAAGTATCCCTCGTCAAAAATAGAAATTCTTCGGGGTTATCGAGTGTGTTGAATACGAAAAAGCACTTTTCAATAACTCAAAACCAATATTTTTTCCCGGTGATATATTAGATGAAATTAAGCGTTTATTTTGATTGAAAAGGATTCCGACATTTTCGGATCTTGGCTTTAAAAAAAGTCTTTCTGCCTTCTGCCTTTCTTTTCTGAAGTTCTGTGAACGGTTAGCTAGAGAGATGAAAATTATTTTGCTACCATTGCATGATATCATGCACGTTTCCTAAATTTTTGTTAAAGTCGAATGTAAAATAAACACATTTTCTCTTTAATCAACATTTAACGTTGGTCACATTATATCCATAACAACGAAGAAGAAACAGTTGCGACCACACTACAAAATTGTTAATCACGATTATCTTTATTCTCACCTAGGACGATGGATTTAACGTAAGATCACGCAAAATTATATGAGATGTTGGATCGTTCTATTTCATGGTTTCACAAAGTATAACAAGATCTTGTAACATGGTGTGAAATCCTTACAAGATCTTGTAACATTTTTTTAAGAAATATCTGTGAAATTGCAGCAACGTTTCACAAGAATCGAAGAAATCTTGTTATAAGAACTTGTATGAACTTACAGCTTACAGACAATTCACAGGACCATAAAAGAATGCATAAGATCTTATAACAATTTTATCTGAGTATCAGCTTTTGTGGCTGCTTTTTACTGTGATCACCCTGTTTTTTCGTTTTTTGATATATTCTAGTGTAGATAGGTCCTGACGTCCTAGGACCGTATTTAGTAATGTTTCTAAGGTATGCACTTTACTTGCTCACCTAATGCATGAAGTTGAAGAGTTAGTTTCATTTTAGTTTTAAGTTTATACACAGGAACTATGTTGTATACGTATTATATATCAGAGGCCGAAATGAAACAACTTTTTCTAGATTAGGTTTCATTCGGGATCGATACAATTTAAAAATTTTGGTTCAGTCCGGTTCGATCCAAATTCGACTACCAAAAAAATTTTTTGTAAATTACTTGTCTTGATTACTCAACAAAATATAGTCATTCATGTTTTTGTGTCATATTGTATGATTTTATCACAAGATTCTAAAAAAAGCATCAGATCTTGAAAAGACATATTTCCACCGAAACGATTAATTTTGAGCGCGATTAGCGCTGTAGACGTATGCATTACTTGTTCGCAAGCATTTCGCTAGTTTAACGATCAGAGATGGGTGAGTATACGGAGTTCTGAGTACGAGTACTGAGGGTCAAGTACAAGTATTTTCTGAAAAATATTAGGGTAGTATTCGAATATAAAATTCTTCAAAAGAAGTTGGTGATTTCGGTAAGATTTCGGAGAAAATCGATTTTTGGTGATAAGTAAAAAAACGCTCACCAGTTTTGGAAGGTTCAATCAATCAATCAGTTTATTTTAACACGAATGTGTCTAGGATGTTACAAAAAAGATAAAACCTAGGTGTCTGTAACGCCTATGTTAAGATATAGAGAAACAAGAAGGAATTGTTACACATAAAGAGAAAAAATAAAACTTTAAACAGAGAATTATAGACTCTAATTACCGTTGTAAAACTACATATTCAAACACAGTCTAAGCCTTCGCCTAAAAGCTCATATTACAAATTGGGATATGACAGATCGTGGCAAGAGGTTCCACTCCGTACATGTATGGGGAAGAAAAGAGTTCAGTTGCTTCTAAGCTTGTCTTAGGGAAGATCAATTTACTTACAACGTGATCCTTTTACTTACTTCTTCTCTTCTCTACACTCAACGAATAGTCTTCCGTCTGCTTATTTTAACAAGAACGTGATCTTACTTTCCTTGCCCATAATAAGAGAACTTTCATGGCATCCATAATAAGAGTCCACTGGCATCGATTATTCAGCCTATCGGACGTTCTGCTAGTTAAAGGTGTGATCATGTTAAATCTTGATAGAGCGCTTTTTCCTATCATAATTTTATGAAAATGTAACAAACGAAAATATTTTCGTCTTTCAGTTAAATCAGGAAAATTTAATTTGTTCATCAGTAATGAACTGCTCGTTTCATAGCCATTACAGATTATTCTGGCTGCCACTTTTTGAACAGAAACTAGTGGATGTAAATACTATAATAAACAACAGAACAATAGTCCATGACTGGCATCAGGCACGTTTCAAAGATGTGAAGACGTAGAGAAGATTGTGCACTGTTAAATGTACGGTGCATTACGCCTAACATCTGTCTACACTTTTTAGCTACATTAAAAATATGAAATTTCCATGTTAGATTGTGCGATAAAAAAACTCCTAACAATTTAATATTGTTTTCCTTAACCAGAGCCTGTCCTGATAAAAAGCGAACTTCCTAGAGTGGAAGGCGGTGTAGTTGTTGAAAAGAGCATAAAAACGCACTTGTCGATGTTTAATTTTACTAGCATTTTGTCACACCAGTCAGACATCGCATTCAAGTCATTTTGAACATTTACCAAATCTGTAGGTATTTGAGTACTTTTTGGAATATTCGTTAGAAAAAGTTCCAAGTACGAGTACTAGGAATTTTGTACTCAAGTATACTCGTACTCGCCCATCTCTGTTAACAATTCATTATCGCTCGAAGAAATGTAGTGTGTGTGAACTTAGGGGAGAAATATTATTATCATCTTCACTAGTCAAATCTCAAGGTCGTCTAATTATTCAAATTACAACAGATTGAATGTGTAAGAATATGTAGAATAGTATTTTGTTGTTTTTTAAGATTCTCTTTTAATTTTATCATACGATAGTGAAGTAAGCGTCAATAATTGGATTATTATCCAAAAAATCTAGTTAAAAGTTTTTGAATATTGTGCACGTATTTGTAAATCGGAAAATTTTTTCTGCTGTTATAGACTGAATTTGTGCTCAGTAATAAATCTTGTACATTCTTCTCGTCGAATTAAACAGATTTTCTGCATATTAATAGTCGAATGTCATAAAACAACTATTACATTTTTCTCACAAGAACGCCATTCAATGAATGAAATCAATCGTATAATATCTTTACTTCTACTGTTATTAAAAAATATGAAAAAATATCGAACTTTATCGATACACTGATAGAATAAAAAAAATAACAACACAAAAATTAGTTAAAAAGAAACAAAAATATTTTGATTAACAATACTTTGAAATTAAATTTTCCATACTATGAGATATTTCTAATGTGGTAGTTGCACGTGATGGTACCTGTGGTGGTGGCTGTGTACGTAATGGTACAGTAATTAGTCCAAAATTTTGACCGTTATAATGTGCTCGAGATGTTGTAGTTGGTTTTTCCTCTCGATAAAAGTAAGAAGGTCTAGCAATGTTTGTATCTATTTTATTAACTTTTGTCGCCATATTGTATTCTTTTTGACATGGTTGTGCGCATTGTCTTACTTGAGAGTCTCCGTTTGACGAAAATGCATTTATTGATTGACTTTTAAACGCTTGATTTGTTTCCAAACTTTGTTGTGTCCTGTTTCCCGTGGTCAAACATGGACCAGCACTTTGTGCACGTTTTCGATATACATTAGGCGCTGATTGAAATTGAAAAGATGTTTGTAACGGTGGAATATGTTGTTGTTCATGTTCTTTAGTCTGTGGGTGCAGTACAATGGGTTCGATATTTGCACTGTCATTATTCCAACAAAGACATTGAGCAACTGTAGTACGACCATTTAACGCATTATTAGTTGCTTGTTGATTTTGTAATTGTATACGTCTCGTTCGAGTAGTTAAAAAACGTTGAAATGTTTCTGAACGTATTTGTTTTGATTGATCACTCGTAGGTTGTCCGTGAGCATAGACTAATTTATAAACACTTTTTTCTAACGGTTGTTTATCTAAGTTTGTATCAGGAGTTGAAATAATTTCTTGTGGTATTTGTGTTGTTGACAATAATTTTGAGACTCCATCATGACTATAATCATCCTGATAGGCTGTATGTTTTGGTAGTTCAGTACGTTTACTCTCATTTCCTTTTGGTAACCAAGCAATGAATAATGGATCAAACTGTCCTCTTAATGAATTATCTGCTTTTCTTTTTCCAAAACCCTAAATATTATTGACATTAAATTCTTGAGAAAAATTTGTACATTGTTAAGTATATGTAAAATTTTTTACTTACTGCTTGAGATCCTCTTACGAGTGGATCACTTTCAAATTTGAATCGATTATCATGTTTAGAAAATGGATGTTTAACTGCTTCTGACTACAATTTAGCACAACAACAAAAATTTTAATAATAATAATAAAAATTATATTTTATTCGTACTACGTACATTTTGTCTTTCTGAAAATATTTTTGGTGCTTTTGGTTTAGCTAGTTCACGAAAATAACTCGACAATTCTAAACGAGACTTGGATCTAAAATGTCCATGATAACCAGATGAATACCAAGAACCAATTAGACGATTTACGTCCGAATCTGCACCACCCACCGATATTTGTCGTACTTGTACTTGACTCATTTATATATATATATATATATATGTTGTACGTAAATTTCAAATAATATGTTCGTTCTATAATAGAAATACACAATAGTTCAGTGTTCTTGACATCTAAATATCAAAATTTTAAATAATTCACATATAATTAACATATTCGAGTGATGATTTTCTATTCAGAATGTATATAGTTCTGATAGCAACAGATTTAAACAAAAATTGAAATTAATACTTTTATATACAAGATTATTTCATATTAGAAAACTTAAGACAGTTTTTATCCTTAATACATAATGAGATTTTGAGAACGGAATTAGACTTTTGTGTTTTATAACTCTGATTCTCTAATTTAGAACTCAATGAATTAGAATCTAAGTGTTTAATATAAGTACCGTACTTTGACAATATGTAATTGGCTTGTAATACTGATCATATTAATTTACGAAAATCGATGATTATTGTGACACTTTTTTTTTTCTACTGATGAAATATTATTTATTATCAGCATCGAAATGTTTTCTTTAGGTTGTTAATACTTTCACAAAACATAACAACGGTGTCAGAATAAATTGAAAGAGAGAATGATACAAATACGGTGACTGATTTAGAGAAAAGAGAAAAAAATGAAAATGTAGTGTTCACTGTACTATTTAAAGTATTCTTTACATTTTTTATTTAGTGAAAAAGTAACAGCATGTTATAATAATGAAAATGAAAACTGCAGTATAGCAACAACAAGTGTTTTTTCTCGTCTTTTTAAGCATCAATTTAATGAAGAAAAACAATCGGACTACTTTAAGATACTAACAATTGATTTAAATAAACAAACGAAGACATACAATCGGTAATTTAATAACCGTTCAGTATGATGATTATATTTCATGAATCTATACAGTAATCTCAAATGTATGGTATCTTTGTTCAACAGACTACCTAGAAAAAACAATTATTATTTACTCAATATTGTCTACTTTTAATTGGATACACAAACAATCCGTATCTCACGGCACACTCCTTAAAACAGTCTGAATATATCGAAAAGCTTGTATAGGTGTGGCAATAAAATTGTCGTGTGAAACTGAATCTAATCCGAAAGTTGAAACTATATGTAAAAACGTCGGTTGAAAAAATACAAAAAACACTTAATGAAAATACAATTTTTCAAAATATTTTTCACTGCAAATATGATATATCTATAATATGTCCAGCTTGCTTTTGTTGCAAAACGTGAAATACAAATTTTTCTGATAGTTTGAATATAATGATCGAAAGTATTACAAGATCCTGCAGGTATCATCAGATGTTCCAGCATAATTCTGTGAGAACAGCGGCTGAATTGCAAAGCTTTTCACCTGAATCAATGATTATTTTACATTTAAGATCATCAACTTTTCTACAGCCTACCCCTTGGATTTGGCATAATTTGTGTAACACTAACATATATGAGTGATAAGAAGAAATAAGTGTATGTGGACGGAAACAAGTATACATTTTTTTTTTATAAAAGGTTGATACTGAGCTAATCACATGATGCGTGGATAACTCAAGATGTCTAGTCTTAGAATCTACATTGTTTTTGTCAATATCAAAGGTCTTCGAGAGGTCTTCAGAAGAAAAGTTAAGGTTACTGTAATGATGTAAGGTGCTTACAATTGTAAGTTTCAGTGGTTCAATATCTTGCCTACAACAACAAGATAAGCTTCTTACATTCTTAGTGAAGCTTCTTGTACTTAAGATCGTGTGGGTTAAGAAATATCATAAGATCCTGGAGAAGACACCATGAAATCAAGCTCTCGGATTCTTGAAACGTGCACTCAAGATCTTGAATGAATCGAGTCAAAATGTTTTAAAGTATTGTGAAGTTTTTATTTTCATTCTCGTTTTTATATGATAGCCATAAGCATTAGACATACAATCATATATGATCATAGGCTTATCCTCGAGTAGCTACGTTCAAGAAAGGAAAAATTTCGAAGTTATTCTGAGTATGAAAATTTTATATAAGCAAGAGTGTGCAACAAAACGATGATTCGAAACTTATCAAGATCTTAATACAAGAACCCAAGAAATTTCAAGGCGTTCAAGATCTCGGGTTCTCGGAATTTCTTACATTTTCTTATCAAGATCTTGGTTATAAGAAGTTTCACTCGAGATGGTCATCCATATCGCTAACAATCATCAATTAAGCTTTGGCCTTGAATGCTAGTGTTAGTAGAGCGTTCCAGAAACTTTACCCAGGACGGTCAAAACAATGCCGCTTGTGGTCCGTAATACGGCAGTAAACGATAAAAAAACGGCATCATTACGGCCGTAAACAGAGGGCAGGGAGATGGTACAAAGTTGGTCCCGAGGTGTTTTTAGCTGACATACAAGGCTACAGCTCTCATTTTAGCTTATTAGTCTTATTGTACTTTCGTACTTTTATATTTGTCACACTTTTAGCCTCTAAGTGTTTTAATGCCTTTAGTCTCTTACACCCTTTAGTCTTTTACTGCATTTACTCCCTTTACTTTTCTGTTTCACGCATATCAGAACTATTACCATCACTTTCACTTTATAATTGAAAGTAGTAAAAGGAGTAAAGGGAGTAAAAAACTAAAGGATGTACTCAGTCATCTATCAGTATAACTTTTTCATAACTAAAAAGATCTTGGGACAAACTTTGTACCTTCTCCCATCTCTGGAGGCGTAAATAGTGAAATACTGACCGTTAACGGTCCGTATTTCATCGTAAGAGCGTACGTAGTAATACGGTCCGTATTATCCCTGTACACCCCTTCCCCGTAAGAACGGCTCATATCTCACGTAAAATTTGCCGTAAGCGGACGTTTGTATACGGTAACCCATACGGACCACCGTAAATATATCGTTTCTTAATCATTTACTGCCGTTTACGGACCGTTTTGTCGGACCCGGGTAGTTACCAATCAAGTTGACATTATTTTGAAAATTAGAGAAATCGCCTATCTGACTGCCTCGAATGCACGATTTCTCGAATTTTAGGAATGGAGCGATCGCTCAACACTTACTACTCCAAGTTGCTGCTTGTTTGGTGATTTCAATATGAATATCAAAAAAGACGGCGCGAAGTCTAAGCTGTTGCTAAATTGGGCTGATATGTGCTTTCTTGCTCCTATTTTTCCTGATACTAGTACATCATTAAGATCTAACCCTAGACTGCGTGTTCGCTCTTCGCGTTCGCTTACCTTTACAGGCGTTATCTATTGGTTCGACTAGTGATGATAAATCGGTTTCAGCTTCTGTTAGCGAGACCTCCAGGAAGTGTAACAGTCACTGAAAGGCATTTGCTCTGTTGAAATTAATGATATCTCAAAACCAGTAAAATTGAGTAAGATGAAAATGTCTTTATTCTTGATATCAGAGATTGAGGTACCTGAACTGTTATGTAAGACTGATTGTTCGAAAGCATTTTCGCTAGGTGCTTCTCTACGTATGCTGAAAGAGGCATCGTTGTCTGTTTCAAATATTGTAACGTTTGTTTTTAACCAATCCCTTCTTATCGGAGAATACCCATTGCTGTGCAAAATCGGTTTTTTGACAGCTTCAACTCTAGTGATCCTCATAATTCACCATATTACCGCCTCATTACACTACTTCCTGTGCTATCAAAAGTTTTGAATGATTGATGCATAAACAGCTGTACGGATATTAGATCAATAATAAACTAATAAATAAAAATCAGCTATTATTTAAGCGTAAAAATTCGTGTGTCAATCAGTTGCCAGACGTTGTACACAGTATTTACTCTGCCTTTGATGCAAAGTTTGGTGTGGCATGGAGGTTTTATCGCTAAATTAGAAGCTAAAGGTATTCCACGAGAGTTATTAGACTAGTTTGAAAGTTATTTGGCCCAGAGACAAATCATAACAATGGTGGAGGGAACTTATTCTTCTAGGAGAGCAGTAATCGTGGATGAGTCCTTAGCCCTTTATTGTTCTTCATTTGATCTATGCGATAATGGTTGAGCGTACAATCAAGCTGTTTGCAGATGACGCGTCACTTTATGCTAAGGGGAAAGACGTTGCTCAGTTGGGAAGCAGCTAGATCTTGTTTTTATCCACCAGTGGTCAGTGGTCAGTGGGCTGGAACCTCTGGACATCGAATCTTATATAAGAATCTTACCAGAAACGTCGAAATCACTTACCAGTGTCGTACAACATTCTTATCGGAATCTTATCAATTTCTTATATAAGATTGTTTAAGATTTCCATCGGCAGTCATAAGTGTCTTATAAGATTTTCATAAGAGGTTCGTAAGAAATTCATAAGAAGTACCAAAAATTCTTATGAAGTTTTCCAGCCAATAGAAGCAACTTAATCATAACAGAAATAACCAACACCAACTCATATAAGCTGCCTTCTAGCAAATAAGAATAACATAAGAATTTTTGGTGCTTCTTATGAATTTCTTACGAACCTCTTATGGAAATCGTATACGATCTTATAAGACACTTACGACTGCCGATGGGAAATCTTAAACAATCTTATATAGGAAACTGATAAGATTCCGCTAAGACTCTTATCAGTTTTATCAAAAAAATTCTGTGTAGGGAACTACCTTTGAATGCTCAAAAATATGTCGCAATGCTGTTCACGTTAAAAAAAATTCATCAACCTTTGCCATTCTTAAAGACTGGAACTGAAGTTTTGAATTACGTTGCTGAGCATGCACAGTTGGATCTAATACTCATTATAAAACTGAATTGGAAAGCACATATTGACTACATATTATTAAAAATAAATAAATTTGTTGATCTACTTAGATTAAATAGTAGAGTTCTGACTGGAGGTCTACGGGATCAAGCTTTTTTGGTCCCCTAAAAAGTTTCGCGGTACCGGAATGGAACGGGGATCGTCCCGCAGACCTCTAGTTCTAACCGGTCAAGCCCTTAATCTTTTGTATAGCTTCTTTATTATGCCTTGCTTCACCTGTGGTACAGTAATATTTGGAAATACATTCGAAACGAATGTGAAAAAACTTCTGAGTGCTCAATAGCATGC